CATTCTGGTTGTCACTCCGGGGTCGTGAGTCGTTTGTCGGCCAGGAACCGTATGGGTGAGAGCTTTTATTTTTGTGAAATTTCATCACGTTTTTATGTTGTGACCACGTGACGCCAGTGCCAGTGCCAGTTCCAGTGCCTCTGCCGTGACTCTGTTATCCTCGCCCTCATCCTCATCCCCATCCCCATCGTCCTGAACGTCCTGCCAACTGCCTGGCTATCTGGGCCAGGGGCCAAGGACGGAGGATGGAGGACGGAGGACGAAGGACTGGCCGCCACACACCTGCTGGCACGTAGAAAATGGAAATGGCACAGAAGTCCGGCTGCGCAGCCAGAAGTCAAAGTGTCAGTGTGTAAGCTTGTAGCATTTTCTTGGATTGCCGTATACCTGCTGCCTTTCGCCGAACGTCCTGCCTTTCCTCTGGGATCGTCCTGTTCTCCTGGGCCGCTACTTGAGCTACATATTAAGTGTGCTCGTTACGCAAAACAGGGTGATTAGACAGCATATTGATAGAATTAATATAAAATCTTACATCTGCTTTCCAGCCACATATAACCGAAACAGCACTTTCTAGTTGCAAACCTTTCCAGTGAATTTATGCTTTTCTCAGGAAAGGTTGCAGTACTGTATCTTTGAAATAAAACCCTGTACAGAAAACAGGCTTAGACTGGAATTAAAAGCGTCGATAGCCTCCTGTGCATCCCGTGGTGCTGACATGGTGTTCTCCAGCTGCTCTGGCCCCCAGTACTGTGCTATATAGTAAAGTATTTATATAGAAGTGACGCAGAGTCCGACCCAGCTGCCAATATGTTTCCATTGAACTGCAAGCGGCGACAGATGTTTCCCCAGCGTTCAGCGTAGTTGTCGCAAGTAAAAATTGACGAAATTTATGTTGAAATTGTCAGGGCAGAAGGCGAGTTTGGGGTTCGTCAGCTCCCCAGCTACAAAGTGAGGATGAGAGTGTGGATTCGGATATGGTGATGGGTGCACCCTAGCTACAGCTCTCGCCGCTTTTGATATCGCATTCCTGACACAAGGACTGCCTAGGTTGTCCTGGCTACCCAGAACCCATTCTCCCCTTTTTCGTCTTTGCCTCGATTGTTTTCCATTCTATTCGACCGCACAACGTGCAATTGTCAGCAGAAACAGCGCCATTGAAGTACTTTATGCACTTTCATTTCATGGTCAGTTGGCATTATGGTTTCGGGTCGAGCAACATGTGTGCCCAATGCGATTGTTTGCAGTTTGGGCGGTTGTGGATGTCACCCGATCCATTTCCCTGCGAGAAGGTCCTTTGCAAATGGGTTCAAAAAAAATGATAACAAATACATGGCTCAATGTTAACGTCAGATTAATCAGACTAAATAAAAACTCATATTAAAATGGAAATAATAGTGTAAATATTCAAGCGTAAACATTAAATATTAATTAACATACATATTAATTTTAATAGAGAGGAAAATATTTTCAGTGAATATAAATGCTTGATTATTAAAAGGCAGGATATATGTTGCATCTTTTTAACCATGGAAGTTTAGGTTATACTCTTTACCCAAATATTCTTAGCTGCAAATATCTGATTTATTATTAAGCTGGTGTTTAGTTAAGTAGCAAAATACAAACTGGCTGCCCCACTTATAGAGTGCTTACCCACTATCCACATAGTTCCAGTGGGCACCACAGACGAATCGCTTATTAAGCTGCTGATGGAAGCCGCTTAGTTTGAGTGCGTAGGTGGGCGCTTTTTATTGCACAAATATTTGCTGTTCGCGTACAGGATGGCAAACAAAAAGGCACGCGACTTTGTGCCAGCGCCGAAAGTATGCAGACAATGTGCAAACACACTCGCGCGTAGATCCGTCTATGTGTGTGTGTGTGTTTGGAAAAACTAATTTTTCCCCAGCAAAATAAAAGAGAAGACTGTCCGTGTGTGTGTGGCGGAAAAGCGGCAAAAACGGGACTGCAGCTTCTGATGCCAGGAGGAGAAAAACAAACGATATTTTAAGGCCGCTTTGTAAATGCGCAAATTTTGTAACAAATAAAACAAAATGGCGGAAGTATCGATGCGTGGCCAGCGGTCCACGCCCCTTCCGCTGGCAGCCGCCCCTTCCGGTTGCCGGATCCCGGGATCCGCGTTTTATGCAACACATATTTGAGTCTATTAAAAATGCGTTTAAAATGCTTGCTGTGGTTTTACGGTTAAATTGTTAAATTCAAATAAAATTGATTTTTGTTGGCTTACACCACACTGAGCGTGTGTGGGTGTATATCTGTGTGTGTGTGTGTGTGAGGCCTGCGTTCACGCGCATATTGCGAATTTTTGCTTCAATGCATAGTTGGAAAATTAAATGCAAAAAGGTTTACAACTAACCGAGCTATGCGGCCCAACAAAATCACTTGCAAAATGAGGGCTACATGTGATCGAAATGTTTGCCCCGGCTGCAAATTCTTTCGCCGGTATGCGGATTAGTCGTATTCGCTTTGCTTCACTCAGGTGCACGTAATTCGTGGAATTACCTTACATTTTCTCAAACGATTATTTAAAAAAGTACAAGCATATAAAGAAAAAAATAAAATATTAGGGTGTAGTAAAGTATTTTTGGGAATTTAAATAGAATAGGTATTTCTCATATATTGTGTTATTTTATACACCAATTCCAAAATGTTTTCTTTCGCACTGCAGTGATGAACCTAAATATTTGTATATACACATATGCATAGATACAGAAAGAAACAATATTAAGAAGTATTATGAGGGTAACCATTCTAAAAAAAGTAGATTAGAAATGGCAAATGCACGGAGATAGTTTTGTTAATTTGCGTGGCATGACACATGTCACGTATACGCCATGTCATCCCGAAAAATGTTAGTAGCTCGAATGCATGGCTGCATATTGGCGACTGCGAGCTGAAATGCCAGACGATAAATGCCTTTGGAAGTCGTGTAAAAAGTGCCAGCCAATAGCTAACAGCTGCACTTTGCTGGGTGAATGGAGAATGGTGACTGGTGACTGGTGACTGGGCTTCCTCAATGAAACATGCAACGTAATTTCCATGTGGGTAACCAGCAATTTCTGGCATGTAACATTTTTCAACATCAACAACTCCCGCAATATGGCGGCGTTTCCGGTTTGCAACTTCGCCCGATGTGAGAGGAAGAAGTAGAGGAAGATGCAGTCAAGCGCAAACACTACAAGAAAAATTGTAAGTGAAGCGAATAAAATATTATTTTCTAATGCTCGAAGACACAAACAAAGCCAGGCACCGAAGGCAAAAAATGGATGGCTGTTGGGCGAAAGAAATACTCGTACAACAAAAAATGAAAACGAAGGCAAGAAAAAAAAAGCCGGGGAAATCAAGAAAAATTGTTTAGTTCTTTCGCTCCACTCTTGAGCTTCCAGTTACCAGAGAATAATGGCCTGGGTGCTCTACTTGGGGCTTAATCCATCTTAGTCTAGTCACATCCACTAAGGATACGGATGAGCATGGGTATAAGGATATGGCCAAGGATAAGGATGGGAATGGGGATGGGGATGGGAAAGACGACAACGAGGACTTTGAAATGTTGCCGGAGCAAATGTAAACAAAAAACGAAATTATTCTGAAGCATTTGTTCGCCCGGCTCCAGTTTTTTATATTCTCCCATTTTTTTTTTTGTGTTTAAAGCGCTCCTTATTTTTTGTGTGTTTTTATGCGAAAGCGCCTTAAGTTATGCTGCCATTTTTTTTGTTTCCCTTCTGCAGCTTTCACAGCTTTCTTCTATTTTGAGCAATATTTTTTTGTAATAATGTTGCCTCGCAGCGAACGCCGCTAAATGAAATGAATTGTGAAAAATGTGCTCCAGCTTCTTTCTTCAGCTCCTTTTGACTGGGCGGACTTGTGGGTGGGCTTTTCTTACGCTTTTCTTTTGTTTTTTTTTTTTTTTTTGCTTCAGTGGTTGAGCTGGACGCTTTCGAACTCAATTACATAAGCGCAGCCAGCAGTTTGGCAGTTTGTAATTTTCGGCAAATGGCAAGTCACATAGTCGTGCAGAGAAGACTAACAAAAAAAAAAAAAAAATACGTGGATCCTTGGCCCCGGTCCAAAATCACGTAAAATGTCAAATTGCAAAACGTCAGGGAAAATGGCGCGTTTGTTTTGTCGTCGTTTCCTCTTGTCATTCGCCTTATCTACTATTTTAACGCTCAAGTATTTCTGCCTTTCGAGCCCCCATTTTCCCAATGGCCCCCAGCCCCCACCTCCCCCAAGCCACCCACCAGTACCACCCCCTTTGGCATTCAAAGCACACAACAAAAATGCCAACAATCCAAAGTTGAGTTTTCTTTGGAATTTCTTGCCGCTTTTTTTTGCTCCAGCGTGGCTCAGCTTTCTTTTTTTCCTCCTTTTTTTGACATCTCTGCTGGGGAGGCAACATGCGCGCGCCACAATGACAATTGCTTATTTGTGCTGGTGTGCGTGTGTGGGTGGTTGGTTAGAGGTTGCTGTGGGAGGGGGAGGGGGAGGGTGCTGCTGCTGGCGGGGTGGCAGTGCCACAGTTAACATGTAACTTCAACGTCAAGTCAAACGAATGTTGTCCCCGTCCTAGTCGCCATTTTGTTTTTTGCCAATGGCACACAGGGAAATATTGAACAATGCTGCACTGTTCTTGCCATTCACTTTGCAAACAATTTAAGAAGTTGCAAAACAAACCATTGTATTTCTTTAAACATATATACTTATCAGTGAAATATGGCAATATTATTTAGATTTTTTTAATTATAGAAAATAGTTCCCAATGCCATTAGTTTCTTTTCATTTCAAATGATAAAAAATAATTATAAGCTATCCCTTCAGCTAAATTGCTAAACAAGCTTCGAATATTTATAGTAAAGGGAGTTTGCGAAGTTACTCTATCCTTCGATTGTGCTTATGATTGTGATTATGATTATGATTTATTAAAACCATCAGTAGATTGTATCCCGTTGTATATTGAGTTTCTCTCAGTGCACTGCCGCTTTTCCATGGCTTTCATGACTGCTGACTGCTCTCGTCTTGTCTGTGACTCTTATGGCCCTGTTTTGTATGTTTGTGGAGCTGCGTTCGGCTACGCATTCCGTTGGTATTCTACCATTAATACTTGTCTACTTAACGGTAAATTACAGACATTAAACGCACGCACACACGCACACTCAGCTACCCATCCTTGCCAAAAAGAGTGTGTGCGTGTCTTTGTTTTTGTGTGGGTGAGGGGTTGGCAAGGCACTAGGATGTGCTTATTTGTTGTCAGTGCGCGTCAAACATTTGAAAACATTTATTTTTGGCCCGTACGAATGCTTCAATACGTAAGGCTTGCCAGTTGCCAGTTTATTTTTTGCCCATCCTCTGGAACTGGAGTGTATCCTGACAAATGGATCCCAATGGGAGTCCTCTGCTGTCCCCATTCTATTCGCAATATATGTAAGCCACTGTTGGAGGAACCATCATAAATATAAAACAAACGAGCGAGTTATCACGATCGTAACTCGAGTTATATAGAAGCAAGTATAAGGAACTTCCAAAAAAATGTGATTTAAATGTGATTTAAGTTACTTTCTCTGTTAAATTACAAAATTAAACCCCCTTTATATGTTTCGAAACTAAAATTTCAGAGAAGAAATACAAATTTAACGATAGCTTGCATACTTCCATTTGAAAATTCCCCAAAAGTGCTGGACAGACCTTCTTCTTTTTATTTGATCCAACTCGACTTTGCTTTTCTGCGGGCAAGGACGTAGAATCAACAAAAGTAAAACAATACCAAAAATCAAACACACAAAACGACTGAAAGGTGATGCACGTTTCCATCTTCAGGGTCCTGGGCAGGACCGAAATCGGGATTCGGGAGAAGCCAGAAGGGAATGAAGGGAAAGAAGGCGGGCGGCAGGACTTGTAAAATACTTTTGTGTAACTTTGGCTGAAAACTTTATTTTGTGTATTATATATCCTGTTAACAATATACTTCAGTGCCGTGCGGAGCTGCTGCCGCTTCAAAGGACCAACAAAGCCCAAGAGTCACTTAGCACTAGAGGGATATATGTTTATGTGTGCGTGTGTGTGTGTGTGTGTGAGCGGGAGAGTCTGCGGGGCATGTGTGTGAGTGCGGTTTCCGTTAGCCAACAGCCTAAGTTGGCTTGTCTCATATGAGCAGCGGCGAATGCTTTCAGCTTTCTTTTGTTTAAAATTTGGTTTGTGTCAGCAACCACACGAACGAACACGCACACACACACACACACGCATACGGTGAACACAAACAGAGGCATACAAAGCCAAATTGTTCTAAAAGAAAGTCAAAGGTCCTTGCAGACAAACAAGAAAGATGGGCGGCATGGCAAATAGGTAGCTCGGGCGGACAAAACTTTTTCAAACTAAACAAGTCCTGCACATTTTTCGGCCCCGCTCTGTGCGTGTGTATCTGTTTGCCTGTGTGCGGTTGCCATACGCCGGTGTGCGTGTGTGTGTGCGCGTGTGAGTGAGAGTGCTACACACTTCCGTTTCCGCTGCCTGGCAATACAAGTGCAAAAGCTCCAGCTCACAAGTACGCACACACACTTATGTACGTATGCTAATTTTTTGTTGCCTCGCATGTTCTGTCGGTTATTTTGAGGAAATTTACATTAGTCCTGCCGGAAACTCTGCGCACATTTACATATTTCACTTGAAAACTTCTTCGGTGCAGGAAAAACCACACTTCCTTCTCGCATTTATCGTTTAACAGGTCCCGATTGATATTCAAACCCTTTGCGAAGGAATCATTTGGGACCTTTAAGGATCCTAAATAGAGAATCAGAAAGCTTATAAATATAAGCATTTAAAACTATTTCAATCATTTGTTATGTATATTATATTCACGCACATTATATTATATTATTATTATATTATATTAGGATGTAAACAGAATATCAAAGGCATTTAAAAAATTGAGAATTGTGTGAATCTAGAATTTGTATCATAATAATTTTGGGCAATATATGTTTGAACAATCTATTAAATCTATTAAAAATCAGCAAATGATCTAGAATTCTTAAGTATGTCTTTCTACATATATGGCACTGCATATAGTTATTAAGAGGAAATGGCATTATGTGGTTAGTCTTTGTCTGGAATACCTAGTTAATTGAGCTATAAGAACGCTCGTTAAAACTACTTCTCAGCATTCAACCCTCTGTTTTACGAATGCCGAGGATGTCTTCGCTTTAAGGAGTGAACACAAATCACTGAATGGGCCAGCCGGCAAAAGGCCATAAATACCAAATTGACACTATTACACGGCCATTCGCAGCAGCCTCCCCTTTCACCACGCCCACTAAATCCTGCGCCCCCTCCGCGGCCACCACCTTACCTGTATGTTCAGTTTTCACAGCCGGCGAACGCGTGTCTGCCTTAATGGACACCTTCCAGATTAATTGCTCCCGGCTACGACCAAGTAACGACTATGGCGACCACATGAACCGCAAAAAGAACAAAGCATTAAGCCCAGCTCAGAGCGGACTGGGCCGAAAAAAGGGGGCGAGCAGGGCCGTGTGTTTAACCAGTCAAAGTCACGTGTCAAATAAAATGTCAACAAAACAATTGAGTTATTTATTTGGGCATCATTTCGCCGAGGGCGGCAGAGCATTTCATTTCGGCCCACCGCCCACCGCCCACCGCCCACCGCCCACCAAAGGACGCTCCTCGGAGCGTGTGCTGGGTATTTAAAAATCCATTGGCGGTCATTCGACTTAAGCCGAGAGTTACTTTGTCAGTCCGGCGGCTCAAGTGTTGAGTTCATTGCAATGCAGGGCCTGCGACAATTTTCGGAACGGTCCCAGTCACCCCTGCACTCGAAAAAATATCATAATACGAAATGGTAGTATAATCAGCAATAAATACTCAAATTTTAAATAATTATAAAATAATAATTGCTACATGCTGAGGGTTTGATTATGAACTTAGTAGCTAGAAATTAATAAGAATACTGAATAAGTATCTATGCTGTACATAAAGATTATAGATATGTATCTGAATAAATTGAATAACTAAGAAATACTTGAAATCTGTGACATCTTTTCTAGTATAGACTGCTATGTTCCTTAATTAAATTTATAATTTTCTTTTTCTAGAAGCTGTGCCATACTGTGCAAATAAAATAGTTTGCCCATAGTTAAATCTTTCTTCATTTATTTTTCCGTATGCAGTTGTTATGTTGCGGGCTAAAATTATAGTGGAAAAGGGAGAAGTGGTGGGCATTTTTGTCAGTGCAACAGGACCTTCAGGTTCGCTCAATTGACACGTGTCGGCCGCATCGTGGAGGATGTGCTCGCATTGGTATCCTTGTGGGCTGCTGCTAAATGATTTTCCAGTTGCCAGGCAGCAGGAGCAGCGGGATTAGCCGATGACGGCAGTGTCGCTGGAGGTCCTGGAATGGAGACGGAGTAATGCCCTAAGCCGAGATGCTCAATTGAAACGAAAATGATATTTGCACAGGCCATCCAGGCCAATCAGGCCAACCAGGCCGCTGGCTGTGAGTCCTGGGAGCATCCTTTTCGGGGCTCGCTGCTAAGCAAATACAAATAAAGACCTTTGATGTGAATTTATTGGCAATCGCCAGAGATGAGAGGAGGTGCAAATGGAATGGGGTTCGAAATTCGAATTCTGGAAGGGTGGTGGACAGCGCAAGGGCGTGAGAAACATCCCAGGGAAGTTTGCACAACAAATGTTTATGAATTTTGTGGCACGTATAAATGCATAAATAATGCATGTGCCAGCGAATGGCCATTGAATATACGAGTATATCCGTGCATTTATATGCGCATAAATAAATGTTAAGTGTTAAATATTCCATTTAGCGCTGACAATGCCCACTGACGAACGCGCTGTTTCATATTGTAATGTTTCTCATTTAAAGTGACTTGGCCATAAAACCTCAAAGTCACTCGCCGTCGCCACGTGGAAATGATGAGAATTATGAGAAGGATGTCATAAAGTGAGATATGGCTTTCTCCAGTCGCCACTCCTTTCGCCTTTCGCCAGGCGGCATAAATTATGTAAATGCCGACTGGGGGAGCTGCCTCAATCCGGGCATGGCATATATCCGTACTATTAGTGCAAGTCGGAGGTCGACGGTCCATTAGGCTCACCACACGCTCTGCCCGCCGGAAAATCCTTACCCTCACCACACCCCACCACATCACATGACACCCGCCCACCCAAAGGACCTCCATTCGGTGCTCCAGAAATTTCGACAACATGTTGCGGGCCGGGCCACAAAAAAAGGTCAACATTTTACGGTTGATTAAAGTGCGCCAGGCTGCTTTTCCAGCTTTCCACGCTGGGGGGCTTCCAAATTGCTGAAATATTTAATGAAGTGCACAAAAATAATTTGTACAAATATTTGGTGCATTTGGGTTGGAAAAAGATTGAGCATGTATTCCGGTTCATGTGCTGCCCATTTTTGACAAATATTTTTCTGTGAAATTTATTTGTAAAACCGCCGATGGGCAATTTGCGCATATTTGTTAATGGAAATTGTTTAAATGGCTCGAAGTATTCGCCCAAATAGACTGCTGTTGCCAAGTTGGTCGGGATCAGAGAATCCTGAATCCTGAATCCTGTATACTGAATCCTGAATCCCGCGGCGTGTCCGTCGTAATTGAGTGAGGGATTTCGGGGAGAAACAAAAGGTCAACTTTTTTGCATGCACCCACATCAGCGTACCCCCTTTTTTACCCCAAATTCATTTAAATGTGCCACACAACTCCGGCTTAACTTTCTCGACCTTGGGTCCTTTTATTAGAGCAAAAAATATTTCAATTATTTGCCGGGTTAAGCCCAGCCAGACTTAGCAAGGTGTTAATTTGGCTAATTTCACTGCGGGCTCGAATATTTCGAATTATTCTATATACAACAATTTGCTACCAAAGGTCTACATTTTCCGTAAAAATACCTCGATTTGGTGAGGTATGAATTTGTATAGAACTGTTCTTGGATAGGAATGAGTTCTGCTAATAACAAGACATACAAAGCAAAAAGTAACAAGTACATTTAATCATATAAAAAGTTAAATAATTGCATTTTTCTTAAATAGTAGCATGTTACTATGTTAAAAACTAATCAAATTAATTGATTCTTTTTAAGAGGACAATCAAACTGGTTTAAAAACTGAACAGTAAAGCCCAACTTAAAACACATAATTCTTAATTTAATAAAACGACACTCTGTGATCTTATTATTCTTAAAAAATACTTCAATTTGACTAGATTTTTATTATCAGTTACCCTCGGCTTAAATTTTATTTTATAGTCACTATATATTTATGTTATATTTTATATTTTATAATTCTTGCCCTTTTCGAATGTCACATCAATTACACGTAGCAATACATTATTTTTTAGAATTGCCATAGAAAATCATGACTGCCCTTCTGCTCATTACAATTCCGCTGGTGACAGAGTGCGTCGCCTGACAAGTCTGATTTCGGGCTCAATTTTCAGCGTCATCCTGGAACATCCTGAAACACCCGGGAAAACCCATCGCCACCCCAAGCCAAAAATCCGAAAATTCGAAATCGGGTGGTTGCACTTCGCATCGTAAAAAGCGTAGCGCATAAATGACGAGGCTGTTTCCAAAGGGACAGTGCGGAACGGAGCTGTAAGGTCGGGGGCGATGAGGCAGCTTGTTGGACAAGTGGCGTCCTTGTTTTGCGGAGAGCCTTGTTCTTTTTTTGTCGGCGAGATTTTATGGCGCAGAAAATTGAATGATTGATCGCCAAAATAGGCGCAACTAATTAATTTTGCGACACCGACAGTTTGGGGTGTGGCAGGGGGCGTGGCTGCCTCGATGATGTCAAACCGGTGGCCACCTGCAAAAAGGACGATCCCTTTCCCTTTTTTAGCAGGGCGCAAGGCGGTTGAGCTTGGCGTTCTACATTTGCATAATTTGCAACTTAATTTAAATGGATTCATCAGGTTAAATGGAATACATTGAATTCTGGGTATTTTCACACGTGTGCCGCATTTTTCGAGCTGGGAGCCTGCCACGCCCCTTTATCGAACCGCAATGCCACCTTTTGCGGTTCACTTCGTTTTTGTCATTAACTTGCGGCAATTCTCCAACTTCTGTATGTACGAGTAGTAACGCCCCGCCACGTGGAGATGATTTAACTTCCCATCCGGACACGATTGTAGTTTTCCAGGCAGTCACATGCCAACTAATTTATTCATGACATCATCATTAAGATGTCCTGGCACCCCGAATCCTTTGAAGCGACTCCTTTGCTCACCTCCTATTTGCTTAATCGGAGCTCCGTGGGCTTTGCCTTTCCCGTTTCCGTTTGCTCTTATTTATGTTTACTTTGCGTCGAGCCAAGGCAACTCCTTTGTTTATGTTGACTTCCTTCGAGGAGGCTTTTGGGGGTTTCCCCTGAACGGAGGGCTTTTCCGAGTCATTCCGGTCCTTGTATGAATTTTAATAAGTGTTGGATTGCGGAACGTGTGGCGTGCACCAAGGTGTTTTCCTACGACAGAAAGTAGCAGGTAGCAAGTAGCTCCTAAAGTTGAACTCACTTCGCGCTAGCACCTAAGTATCATCCTTGATGACAATGAGGTGTGATGAAGTTTGGCCGCTAGGGAACATTTTAAAACAACAATCTGTCGAAGTTTTTATATAGTTTTGACTTTATATAAAATGTTCACGAAATTTATTGCATTATATAGTCTATTAGAGTCTTGTTAATAGTTAAAGTGGAATCTTTAACTTAACCCTCCATTCGTTCGATTTCAATGCAAACAGCAATTGGGCGCATGAACGATTGACTTCCGATGCCATAATATCCTGCCGGCTCTGACGAATGGCCAGCAATTTGCAAGTCCTTTGACAACCTGCGGGTGCATCTGCACTAACCGAATCTGGAGTCCAGTTGGTAATTAACTTTGCAACACTTGCAGTGGCCGTAAAAGTGGCATAGGACATGAATGGCAGCCTGCGCCACACGCAGCATGCCCCATGCACCATGCACCATGCTGCATGCGCCCAGTTTTCTGCGGTGGCCGTGGCAGGAGCAAATATGTGTGTCCTTGTCAGGCGGCCGGTGGTCAAACGTCGAAATGTCAACAATGGCTAACGGTTTCAACTGCCCCTTCCTCTGTGCCTGCCCCCGCTGACGTCATGCCTGCACTTCATCACGGCGGAGTCACGACTCCGGACCGGAGTCCACAGTCCAGAGTCCCGAGTCCAGAATCCCGGATCCAGAGTACGGAGTTCACCACAGTCGCAGTGGCAGTCACAAAAAGGCGCAAATTTACATTTACATTGACTGAATGATGCCGATGGGCTGGGCGCTCATGGAACATGTCCTGCGCACAGAGTTTGATTGATTTCGAGTGCGTGTCCGCACACCGAGAAAAAAGGATGTAACCGTAATTTCAAACAAATAAGCCGAAATGTACATCATTTCAATACCGCAATCTTAACATTTATTTATTGGCTGGAGTATTTTTTATTTATTTATTTGTTCATGCCGAAATATATATTGCATGAAGTAAGGACAGCTGTATAAAAGAGGCAATATACATTTATCTTTGGTTGCATTTTATGTATTATTTAATAAAATAATACCAATTTTTATGCATCCCGTTCAGCAACATTAACACATTAGTTTAAAGGGATGCCGTACGTTGACGGTGTACATTTGGCTTGAATACATATCCGTTCTGATGGTCGGCAACGAGTCTTGCGTAAAAACCACGAAACATATTTGGTTTGTCATTGGAGGCAGTGAGGCGGCCAACGAGTGGACAGTGGGGATGGGTGGGGGGCTTCGAGTGGGCGATGGAGTAGCTCCCGGGGTCCTGAATCCTGAATCCAGAGTCCTGGAGCCCCTGCTACTGTAATGCCGAAATGTAACCAGCCATATTGACATGGGACGCACACGAGTGTCGGTGTTTCTTTTCATGTCCGTACGTGCATGACAAGTGGAGCCTCAATTGGTTGTCCTGCCGGCAGGACACACACACACGCACACCCAACCACGCAGAGGCAAAAAGCCATGGCCGTTTAACTGATTTTCCAGTGAAGCCATGTTGGTTTTTTTCACTGGTTACACTTCGTTCCGTTGGGTTGTTGTTTGTGTCATTTGCCTGCCATGCGGTTCAACGAGTGCTTTCGTATCGGTGTGCCTTGTGTGTGTGTGTGAGTGCGAGAGTGTGTGTGCAGGGACCTTCATATCCTTGTGTGCATGCATGTGGTGTGCATGCAATGTCCTTGTGCAAACTTCCCGCACTTTGTCGTCGATGCTCTCGTTTTTGTTGTCGCCTGTCGCTGGTCTTTTATCGTTTCCTTGTCGTCCTCGTCGTCATCCTGCCAGCGTATCCTGGCTCCTTTGTTTGTGCTCGAGTCCTTTTTCTTATTTCTCTTGCGGCTGCGCCAGTAGTTTGGCTGGT